ACACGAGGTGAGGATGACGAAATCGCCACGAAAGAAGAGCCACCGATGTCGAGTCTTGCTGTACACCTTCCGACAGGCATCAACAGCTGGCCGCCTGCTGTCCTCAGGTGAGGTCCCGTCCACGTAGTCTTCACTTTTTTTAGGCGTACGGCAAGGTTTTCACTTATGATAGAAAGGCCGGCGCCGGTGTCAACTAAGGCTGTTACTTGCTGTCCGTCTACCGAAACGGTAAGATCTGTGGTCACAGTTTCGTCGGTGTTACAACTTCTCGGCTTTACGGCGTCCTGTGGTACAAGTAACGGGGGCTTTTTTTCGTCGTATTGACGGCCTGCAACCTCACCCCCGGAGGTCGCCGCCTTCAGTTTCCCCGGCGTGGACTTGGTGACCTCCTTCCACTGAAGTCGGCTGTAGTTCGGTGGCGCGACGAAGGCAAATATGCCGGAGACGGAGAGCGTGGTCGACGTCCCATACCTGGCTGGTAATCAGGCACATTGTCGTCATTATTGGCACGGCGGTTGTCAAAATGGGACTGAGACAAGGGGAGTAATTGAGAATGAGTGTACCGGCGTGGTGCGTAGCCGTCGTTGGCGCGTCGATCGTCAGATCATTGCCGAAAAGGTCGAAACATATCTACGCGGTGCCAGCAATGGCGGGAAATGTGGCCCACACCTCCGCAGGTAAAACAAAGCGGGCGCCTATCTACAGTGCGCCAGGCGTCTGTTTTACGAAGCTGTGGACGCCGCAATGGCTCGTAATGTGGCAAATGCCGTGTCTCGTTGGGAGACGGCTCTTGGTACGGCGGCATTTCGTACGGCGGTACGACGACAGGTCGTCGCGGTGTCTGTTCTTGTGGCGACCAAGGAACGGCTGCCGATGGCTGGCGGTACGACAGCGCAACGGGCGGCGAAGCGCGGCTGCGTAGCTCATAGGTCGCTGATCGTCAGTAGGATCAGCTGTTGAAAACGCTTGGCGTATTTCTTCGCGGACGACTTCAGCGACAGATGCCGTGGGTGGTTCCGTGACCAGATTCCGGAACTTCAGCAGCTCTTCGCGAACAATCTCTCTTATCAAATCGCGCAACGAGCTTTGATGGTCAGATGCCGTAGCGGCGACTTGCATGTGGGCGCTGCTGGACAAGCGATCGTATTGTCGGCATCGTAGGTGAAGCGCCCGTTCGATAGCCGTAGCTTCTTTGATGAAGTCTGTCACAGTGCTTGGCGGGTTCCGCAAAAGTCCGGCGAACAGTTGCTCTTTAACGCCGCGCATGAGGTAGCGCAACTTTTTGTCGTCGGTCATGTGCGGGTCAGCTTTACGGAAGAGACGGGCCATGTCCTCAGCGAACATTGCGACCGTTTCATTGGGTTTCTGAACCCGTAGCTCGAGTAAATGCTGCGCACGTTCGCGCCGGTCGACATCGGCAAATGTGTCAATCATGCCTCTTTTAAAGTCGCTCCATGATGACAAACTGCCTTCTCTGTTCTCGTACCAAGTTTTAGCGCTGTCGTCGAGATAAAAATAGGCGCGGGAAAGCTTTTGTTCAAGGGACCACTGGTTGGTGTTAGCGACACGTTCATAGTGATCAAGCCATTCTTCGACGTCTTCATGTGCTCCACCACCAAAGCGATCAGGCACCAGCGGTGAAAAAAAGGTTACCTGAGATGGGGTTGGAAAACTACTGTCTCGTAGTAACTGTTGTAGATTGGCGATGGCCATTGGTAGATCTGAGTGGTGCTTTATAGAGTGTTCCTGTGAGAGAGTGAACTCTGGAAGGAGGCCTCGCAAGCGACGGCTGAAGCGATGCACGGGAGTGTTGACAAGTGCTTCTGGGCTGGATGAACGGCTCCCCGTGGGAGTGTCGAGCATCAGGCGGGGTCGCGGGCCAGCACCTCCACCAGTGTCGCAGTACAACGCAAACAAAGCACAAGTACGCCTTGAGGCAGCGAAAGCAGCGTGTTCTCAACAGCTGAGCCACAAGATCTTCTTCGTTCTCGCGTCAAGCCAGAGGCCCACTACCTGGTGTCCGCTAAATCCCCCCATCATCGTTTTTGTCCACATGTAGACACGGGTCAATACAAATAAGTATCTGAGCCTAAAATTCCATCGTAGAATTTTGTTGAAGCAGGACGATCAAAGAAAAAGTGTTCATTGTGGTGACAATATTTATGCATTGACCCCTGACGGGGAATTGTGAATTTTTCGTTGTATAGCAGAAATTTCGTTCAAGCTGCGATTGCTGTAGCGGAATTAGACTGTATATTATAATACAGTATACATAATGATAGATTTCATTTCATATTATAGGATAGCTATTACATTATCTTACACTTGAGGAAGCTCTTAGTAAAAGCTTTGATTGTAACCATCAGAGTAACCATAAAAATCCATGTCACGTGCTAGTGGCCTATGATTACATAACTATGGCCAATACGCTCTCCGCTCATTGTAACACCTTGAGCACAGAGTCTGTGATGATATGTCATGGTTACGGTTTCATCTGACTTAGATACATGCAAGAAAATCAACAAAATTATGCTTTACCATATCAACAAACATACAAACATACCCACAAGACAGTGTACAAATGTAAGCAATTCGACACTACAGTCGAGCCCACATATAACGGCCCCACTTAAAACGAAGTTTCACTTAAAACGAACAATATCCGCGTGAATGTGAAAATATACGTTGGTTCAATGGCACAAAATTGCACTCACAACGAATGTCTCCGAGCATCGCTGATCGGTTACAGCGAACGGAGTCGGCGGTGTGCCGACTTTCCGCGAAAACAATTTCGACCACCGATCAGGCATCGGCGAGGTGCCCATACATTCTTATCGTTAAACGCCGACGCTCTCTCCGCGCCCCTTTAGTTGCCGCTCTCCCCGACCCTTTTTGTTATGCACCTCACCGTCCTTTGTCCCCCCGCTACTCTGAGCACCCTGCATCACCAGAAAAGGCCCATGTTTTCATACTGCCACTGATCTTTCGAAGACCGGTCGGCCATCTACCCTGTTTTTGATTGCTGGTACTGTCGTTGGCGTCGCCAGCCTGGACTGACCAGACCATTTGCCAACATCGTTGGCCACCGACTGTATCTGATAGTCTGCGTCTATAGTGCACGCGTGTACGCTACCCCACCGACTCTAATTAATCTGCGATTCGTTTTGTTGTTAGGACTTGTCCTCGCTCACTTCGCACTCGGCTCAGCATATCTTCCGCACGCGTGCGGAAGCGCGAAAAAGGCTGTTAACTTGCGCGGAAAGAATCGCGAAATATCGAAGTTCGTGAGGCCACGCAAACCCGCCCGCGCAACAAACGATTTTTTTACCACGCCCGCCGATTATCTGAACACCGCAGCGCGCACTGATTCAGGCGGCCATGCACTCTTTTCAAGTTTTTCTACGTGCGAGTTTTGCGGACCTTTCAAGCAAGCTACCCAACCTGCCTCCTTCCTGTGTGTTTTGGTTTTCAAGGTCACCCTCCGGCCACATCTTCCCCTCTTTTATCGCAACTCTTTGTCCTTCTCTCGCAAGTCTGCTCTCCTCTCTTCATCACAACCCTTTTGCCCGTCTCCACCGATCCACAACGCCCGCCACGCATGGCTCGAATTAGTTTCGTTTTCTGACTGGAAACGGGCCCAGAGCTGTTCCACGCGTTCTGGCATGTGTGTCGCGTGTGCGCGTCTTGCTCGCTCTTGGTGTGCGCGTGTGGTCATGATGGTCGACGGGAGGACTAGCACGCTTTTTTGTGCCGCTCTACAAAACGCCGAAAGTGTGACTGCTTGGCTTGAGCTTAATCCGCGCGTTAGGTGCCGCGTTGCGGAGCGCTTGCTCATAGCTGTTGACCACCTGGCAGCCAACTTGCCGCTTCAGGCGTCCCAGTATTCAGCTGTGGAGATTGTGAATATTTCGTGGGCAGCGGTGACGGCTACATGCGCGTTAAACTGTTTTCGCGAGGCCGACTTTGTCGATGTCGGGCCCGATGCCGCGCCTGAAGCTTTTGAACAGGACCACTGCGGCGGCGATTTGTGGCGGTGCGTCGTCGACTCCGACCTATGAGAGCGGGTGAGACATCTGTTGCGATGATTTAATTACGGCCGATGATGATGCCGACACTGCGGAACCGTGCAGGATTAGGGCATAGTGAATGAAGTACGTAGCGAGAGCGATTTGGAAAAATCCGATTGCGAGAAGGACGAAACTTTGAAGCCAGTGCCTCATGCAGCTTATGCCAAGGGCCTCGGCCAACGAGCACCCTGCCGTTATAAATGAACTCGAGACCGTCCTTATCGCTTCTGTTCTTCGAAACACGTGCATCACGGACTTCCTGGGGCAAAAAAATTCTGTTTTCACTCGCAACTTTCTTTAAAAGCTGTGTTTAATTTACTATGAACTTCGGAGTACAGCGAACGGATGCCGCGTCACGCTCAGGTTCGTTATAAGCGGGCTGGACTGTATCTGGTTCCATAGTATGAAATAAAGGCACACTCTTGGACTTGCAGCATTTCACTTTTTTCATTTTCACTACCTGTTCTTACAGCTCTTCCACCCTAGTGCTGAAACATTTTTTTCCTATCTACAACTGTTCATTCGTGAAATAATGCATCCACATTTCAAATAAACTAATGGAATGCCAGAGTACCGAGAACAAATGCTAATTGAGTTATTTTCTGAAGGCTCTCCAGAGGAAGATGGTGCAAACAGCAAATACTTGACCAACACTCCAAACAAAGCCGCATGCATTGTATCAAGTATGCCTTTAAGTATAATACACTGCTTTCCAAGACAAACTTATGTGCGCGTGCAAGCAGTACAGGTCATAAAAAATAACTGTTATAAAGTTACAAGACACCAAGTTGGACACAAGATGCACCAAACTTTGCAATGAGAAGACGATGCACTTATTCTTACATGATATGGTAACTAAGTTCACTTCAACATGGCCTTGAATCCCAAACAAAGAGGTAACCAACACTCCATGCAACAGTGAAAGCAACACACCGCTTCCTCGAAGCCCTTCATGTTCGGCACAAGCACAGGATAGCTGACGCCCTTGTGCTTCTCAATACCCTTGAGCACCTCGGTGTGATCGGCCATCTAGAATAATGCAGATGCTGCTTTCATTCAAAACCATCTCGGCAAACGCATGTGAAAGAAAAATCGGCAAGCAATGACCAATCAATGCAAGAAAGACAATCACAATACCACTACTTGCCTTGCACAAAAAAATAAGGTTGCAAAAAATATTATTGCAAAGCCACAAGAAAACACGTTCCAATGTGATATTACCATATAATACACACACACACACACATGCACGCACGCACACACACACACACACACACACACAGACACACACACACACATATATATATTGCGACCTAGCCCTTTACACGCCTTTATTAGGCCTGGAAGACGTGGCCAAAACAGTTACCTCTGAGGCACAGAACCGACTCAAAGGTCATCCCCACTAACGATTAAGATGAAGAACACTACATGATGATAGTTTTGTACAGGTGATAAAAAAGTGTGCTTTAAATGCCCACACTAATTCCCCACGCATGAGAGTGGCCACCCTAGCCTTAACGTATAGATGTGGAGAATGCCTTGCGAAAGGCTTCATACCGCGAGATATGCACTATCTCAGTACCGTGACAGCACCGGCCACCGAGGTCTGCTCTAAGACTGTGTATGGGCCGAGGAACCAAAACTGAAATTTGTCACACAAGCCAGGAGTGCGAACTGGTGTCCGCAGTAGCACCTTGTCGCCGGGGTGGAAGGTCACAGCGGTGTGGGATGCGTCATGCAGATTTTTACGGGTTTTTGTCTCTCCTCAGTGTTCAGTCTGGCGAGCTGGCGACAGTGATGGTGGCGGGACACATACTGTTCACAGGAGGATACAGATGATGTGACCGGGGCTGTCAAGAACGAGACGTCCTGAAAGGAACGAGGCGATCGGCCGCAGACAAGGTACAACGGCGAGTAGCCAGTTGTACGTTGCACGGCGACATTACAAGCGAATGTTACGAACAGTAAAATCGCATCCCAGTTGGTGTGGTATGGCTCAATGTACATGGCTATCATGTCGGACAGAGTGCGATGAAAGCGCCCTGTGAAAGCAGAGTGTGATGAAAGCGATGAGAGCCCGTTGGTTTGGGGGTGGTAGGTGGAGGTTGTCTTGTGGCTGGTGCCGGAGGCTTTTAGCAATTCCTCCACAATTTGTGAAAAGAAAGCTTTTCCAGAGTCACTAAGGATGACACGAGGAGCACCATGACCCTAGATCAAGGCTTCAAGCATTGATGTAGCCACGTCAGAAACGGAGGCTGAATTCACGCAGGACGTTTCAGCGTAACGTGTCAAGTGGTCGACAGCTGTCACTATCCATCGATGGCCACTGGGAGTCGTGTGAAGGGGACCATATAGATCGATGCCAACATTTTCAAATGGTGCTGACGGACATAGAAGTGCTGGCAGCTCTCTGTATTGAGGTGATGTCGGAAGCTTTCTGCGCTGACAAAGGTTGCAGGAGGCGACATACTTTGCTACGCTGGCGGACATCCCTGGCCTGTAGAAATGACCTTTAATGCGATCGTTCGTTTTCTGGAAACCTAAGTGACCAGCAGTCAGGTCGTCATGGTAGGCCTTAAGAATATCGGCTCGAGGGGAGCGAGGCAAAATGGGCACCCGGCGTTGACCATCCAAACGATAGATGTGATGGTAAAGAACGCGGTTATTGAGCTTGAAATGCCTGAGCTGTCGCCGAAGGCGGGAATTGGGCGGTCGCTATTTCACCTGAAGGCGATCTATGATGTGTTTACAGTAAGCGTCAGCGGGTTGATGCGTTATGGTGGAGCCGTGGTCGTCAGGAGGGATCTTGTTAATGGTGGCTAAGGACGAAACAAGATGTGAAGGACTATCCAAGCGTTCGTCACTGATGTTAGAGGAGGAAGCAGTGGACGGTGTCGTAGGAAGCGGGCAGCAAGAACGCGGATCTACGTCCTGGTGCTTTTTGCCAGCACTTGTAGGCAATAGTAAAGTCGTATTCTTGAGGACGTATAATCCATTGACCAAGGCGTCCTGAGAAATTCTTGAGCGTAGAAAGCCAACATAAGGCATGATGGTCTGAAACTATAGTAAAATGACGGCCATGTAGATAAGGTCGAAATTTCAATACCGACCACACGACAGCTAAACACTCCTGTTCAGTAATGGTGTAACTCTTCTCGGTGTTGGTCAGGATGCGGCTTGCATATGCAACGACCCTTTTACATGATGATTCATCGCGCTGCAGTAGAATACCTCTGATTCCGTGATCCCTAGCGTCTATGCAGGAGGAGTGTGGGTGCTGTTTCATCGAAATGCCGAAGTACTGGTTCAGATGTGAGGGCATTTTTCAGATGACCAAACGCTGATTCGCAGACAGGAGCCCACTCAAAGCGAACGCCGAAACCAAGTAATTTGTGCAAAGGTTTCGCTATCGAGGCAAAGTCTCGTATGAATCGGTGGAAGTATGAAGCCAGGTCCAAGAAAACTGTGCAAGTCCTTGGTCCTTTTAGGACAAGGAAAATGAACAACGGCAGATATTTTATCGGGATCAGGACGACTGCCATCCTTACTCACAATGTGGCCTAAGACCTTAATTATCTTGCTGGCAAAACGGCACTTTTTCATGTTCAGCTGAAGGCCAGCCGTACCAAGGCACATGAGGACTTCGTCTAAACAGTGTAAGTGTAGAGAGGGTTGACGAAAAAACAATGATGTCGTCCAAATAGCACAGGCAAGTTTTCCACTTCAGGCCGAGCTAAATGGTCTCAATCATGCGTTCGAATGTTGCGGGTGCATTGCATAGAACTCGGTAAAGTCTGTCTAGTGTCGAAAATGCCGTCTTCTCTTTATCATCCTCTTGCATCGGTATCTGCCAGTATCCCGCACGTAATCGAGACATGAAAAGTATTGAGCTCCTTGTAGCGAATCCAAGGCGTCATCTATACATGGCATAGGGTATACATCCTTGCGCGTGATCTAGTTTGGCACTTGGTAATCTACGCAGAAGCGTACAGAACAGTATTTTTTTCGAACTACGACGACAAGTGATGAGCAAGGGCTAGCAGAGGGGCGTATTATATTCTGTTTCAACATGTAGTCGATGTTTTCTTCAATAACCTTCCGCTCAGCTACTGGTACGCGATATGGCCGGCGACATAAGATTGATGTACCCTCAGTCTCAATGCCATGATGCGTGGTGATGCACGTCTGTGCCAATACGGGTGAATTGACGTTAAACAAAGCTTCGTGCTTAGTCAGCAAGGCAAATAGTTGTAGGGTCTGCGAAGGGGTTAGGTCACAGCTGGTGGTGGTATTGAAGGTGGAGGTGGATGGGGAACGTGCAACAAGGAGAAGCGTCTTGAAAAGTTACCACAGAGAAAGACTCCAATGTAGCGACGCAAGTCAACGGTGAGCCAGAATTTTTTCTGGCCTCGGGTTTTTACGCAAGTGAATGCGAAGCCATCGTCTAAACGTATTAGACCTGATGCGAAGGCTATTCCTCTGGTGACACAGCGCACGAAGGATTGTACGAGCACATCGCCGTAGCCGATGACATCAGACAGAAGTGTAACGATTCGCTGACTGTGCGAAGGTAGCTCAGTGTCTTCTGCAGCATAAAAATGAAGTGGTGCGTCATCTGCGTGAAGCGAATAGGCGGTATCATTCATTTGTAGGACGCGTTGCCAGCAGCAGATGGACGCGGACGCCATTGAAAGAAAGTCCCATCCCAATATTAGCTGTTGAGTACACGAACTAAGCACTGGAAATTGCACATAATGGAAACGTCTATCAATGTAGACACGAACAGTGCACATGGCGGAAGGTTGGATGGCGTCTCCTTGACGAGCGAGCAACGTAGGTCTATCGAAGGGCGTAGCAACTTTGTGGAGATGCGCACACAAATCTCTGTGAATGACCAAGAAACTAGCACCAGTGCCTATTATAGCTTCCACTTCTATGCCTTCCACCGAAACAGATATATTACGAGTATGTTCTGGAGGAATGGTTTTAACTCCGCTGAATGCAGCTTTTCCCCCCGAAGCTGCATAAGTTAGTTTTCCGGGCGACGGTCGGCGAACTATGAGGCTGGTTGAAGTGGCGACGTAGAGCGACGCAGAGGGGACGGTGAGCGATACTTGGCACCACGGTAACGAGGAGCCATTTCAGGAATTATTCATGGCGAGGAAGAGCGATCGTGAAGCGTAGCGTAAGGACAGGGCTGGAAAGTGCTTGCTGTGGCATGGTCATCCCGTTCGTAAGTGTCCAAACCACGACGCTCGTCTCACTAACGCTTGCGACAGACACGTGCGATGTGTCCACGATATCCGCAATAGTAGCATGTAGGTCTCGTCGGGCGCCATGATTGATAGTAGGGTTGGTTGTTTGGGCTAAGGACTGTGGAATCCAGGTGTGCTGGCGCCGGTGGAGCATAGTAAGGCAGGTTTTGCGTGCTGAGCGCCAGGGACGCCAGATGGACTGGCGTCGTCGGCAGCGGTATCGGTGGAACAAAGGCTTATTCGCAATAGTAGCATGTAGGTCTCGTAGGGGGCCATGATTGATAGTAGGATTGGTTGTTTGGGCTGGGGACTGTGGAATCCAGGTGTGCTGGCGCCGGTGGAGCATAGTAAGGCAGGTTTTGCGTGCTGAGCGCCAGGGACGCCAGATGGACTGGCGTCGTCGGCAGCGGTATCGGTGGAACAAAGGCTTATTCGCAATAGTAGCATGTAGGTCTCGTAGGGGGCCATGATTGATAGTAGGATTGGTTGTTTGGGCTGGGGACTGTGGAATCCAGGTGTGCTGGCGCCGCTGGAGCATAGTACGGCAGGTTTTGCGTGCTGAGCGCCAGGGACGCCAGATGGACTGGCGTCGTCGGCAGCGGTATCGGTGGAACGAAGGCTGGAGTAACTGTGGCGACTTGCGCATAAGTAAGTGGGGTCAGAGACGTGAAGGTCTGTGTACACATTACCAGTCGTAGCCTGCCAACTCTCCTTGACGACGTTCCGTAAATTTGTACTGGGGGTGTCAGAAGGAAACTCACACGCTGTAAATCCGAGCGACTGCAGTTCCTCTCGTATCATGCTGCGGATCACGGCTCGAGGGGTCGGCAGTAAGGTTGTCAGGGATGGCTGCAGGAGAGTTGTCCAGCTGCAGCCATGTGGATTCGAGTTCGTCCAGGTGCTGGCACATAGCTACAATGTCAGCAACAGTACTTGGGTTCTTTACGACTAAAGCATTGAAGGCGACAGGCCCTATGGCTTTGAGCAGATGGCGCACTTTGTCTCGGACATGGAGTTGTTGACGCGTCGACAAAGAGAGAGAACATCCTCAATATACGAGGTATAAGACTCGCCAATTTGTTGTTTGCGACCATCAAGCGTTCTCCTCGCCAGACTGGCTCGAATTGCCGGGGTAGCGAAGACTTGTCGCAGATGTTCTTTGAAGACGTTCCAGTTGGGAAAGTCAATCTGGTGGTTAAAAAACCAAGGCTTCACCATGCCAGTAAGATAGAAGGAGACGTGGCAGAGCTTGTGCGGATCGTCACAACAGTTCGCTGCGCTCACTATGTCATATTGGTGTAGCCAGTCGTCCACGTGCTCATTTCGGAGTCCTGCAAATAGCGGGGGCTGGCGAGGGGGGTCCACTGACGATCCAAGAGTGAGTAGCTGCAGCCGTCGTAGCAGCAGGGGTAAAGAGAGAAGTGCCTGAACGTTCGTCCTGCGGCATGCTGGTGGACACGTAGCCCAAACGGCGACCTGAGCGAAGCTCCAGGAGTTAAAGCGGGCAAGCAGGCACGGGGAATCGAGGAGCAATCTTCCACCACTTGTGACGTAGTCCTTTACACATTTTTATTAGGCCTGGAAGACGTGGCCAAAACAGCTACTTTTGAGGCACAGAACCGACTCATGGCATATCCCCACTAACGATGAAGATCACTGGGTGATTATAGTTTTGTACAGGTGATGAAGAAGCGTGCTTTAAATGCCCACACTAAATATATATATGTGCACTGCATTTGCAATCAAATGCCATTTCAGTCGTAGTGGTAAGAGCCAAAATGAGATATTGAAATTTCGCATAAAGCTATCTCAAACAAAACAAAGGGAATTACTCATAACAAGTAGGAAATAATTCGACAGGTAGGCTTGATTTCACCAATGGAAATAAGCAATATAAAGCAATCAGTGCTACATGAAAAGAAAGACGCCTTCTACAAAAGCGTCAACATAAAAAGCGATCTCTCAAATTGAGTGAAACGAACTACTACAAAAATCTGCGTACGCATTCTCTGCAGCGTTGTGCTACTTCTCAATGCACAACGATTTCCCATTTTGAAGACTATATTGGCATACTCGGCCTACTTGCCGTTTCACATGCTTATCAAGCTTGCCTTTTCCAGTAATGTACAAACTCGACTACAATGATGGGCCACTACCGGTGTAAAGGTGTTGGTCCTTGTATAGGTCGGTCAATGAATGTTTTTTCATGTTCGCTGTTTTCCTTCGTCAGAAGCTCGCATTTCTTGCAGCTTCGCGATACAACTGTTGAGATGACAAGTCTCTTTGTCACAAGACATCCTTTCAATGGTCAATTCATGCATTACTGGCTTGTCATGATCAAGCTAAGCTCATGAAGCGGATGCCTGACAATCCCCACAGCCTTATGCACATTTCCTTGAAATGGAAAAGCGAGAGAACATCATTCGAGCACACTCGAAGGTTATCTCCACTCACCTGAGGGACCCACTTTGGCGAGACAAAGCTTGTTGCCTCTACAACAGGGAGCCCCGAACTGGCCAGCCTGTTGATAAGGTCTATCTTTGTGTTCGTCGGCACTATCTCCTACACAAGCAGAAACGACAAAGCAGACAAAAAGGTTAAGGTGGATGTCAAAAAAAGCACGAAGGTCTCAAATCTTAAGGGAAACGACAACACCATTGAAGCAACTCGCATAGAACAGCGCAATCTGCTTGGCTGAACTGTTGTGACTTTCTCGAGTACTCTTCTAGCGATGCTAAAAAAAAGCACCCGTATAAGAAGAGCATCACTGACTGCTGTGCAGCAGTGCAGAGCTCTTGACTAATGCAGCTGGGGTGTTCTTGATACTGCCGCCCACATCACCGGCTGGTGAGTAAGAAGTATTATGGAAGGTGACTGAGCAGCCAGTTAAGCATTATTAGCACTAACATTTGGAGGCAATTACTAAACATGGTAAACCAACGTACGAACTTCAGAGACAAAGGCCCATATTCACAAATGCTCCTCCGCTCGCAACTCGACCTCATGGGATCATTGAGAACTGTTGTACATTGCGATTTCTGCAACGCTAAAAGTCTTAAGGATCCCCTGGGGTCAAGTTTTGAGTTGAGGAGCATTTGTGAGCCCCAGGTATCACCTCGCTGTCAAGCAGAACTACAAAGTTGTCTCATACGTGTCCATTTCGACTTTCTGGAACTGCACATATTTGCATCTAGTAATTATCTTGCTACTTGACTCGCCAATCGTTTTCCATGTTGCAGGTCACATAAAAACAAGCATGAAAGTTCACGAACAATGGCAGAGTGTTATAGACTACTATTTTACCGAATAGTGTCCTCATTCTTGCAATAACATTTTCTACCTATCAACAACTAAACGAACAGCGCAACAGTTGACATATAAAAGCATGAAAACGACTAGGCTGATGCATCGGGCATTCGACAGCCTTATTAAAGCGAGGTACAAAAATAAAGCGTTCCTTCAAGAGCCCAAAGTGGCAGTACCCATACGTGTCTTATGTGATAGTCTATAGCCATGTCATGACCCATGTCTGATGCAGAGTTCCAATGCCAGAGTCAGAGCAAGTTTATTCTGCTCGCTTTGGAGCAAACGTACTTCAATGGCAGAGTGAGTTCAAAAGTCCAGAGTTCCAATGACACAGTCAGAGCAGATTCAAAGTGAGATTCACTCCGTGAAGTTGCTCCGTCAAGATCCGCTGAGTGGAACAGAACTCTTTCAACACATTTGCCTCCATGCTGAGGGGCACAGCCCGCAGTCGCTTGTTTTGGTGACCATGGCAAACGACAACCACCGCTAGGCAAGCTGTGCAGTATTATTTCTGCTACTTGATGGTGATCGACTAAGAAACATGTTCCAGCACGAGTGGTTCATCAGACAGTAACAGTAACGCTGAAGCTGCAGAGCATGAGCGGGTATTCGAGAAAATTCGAAAGCACGATAGAATAACTGTATTCAAGATACTCGGGCCAACAAGTCACTTGAAAGACAGACCTTCCAATTCCTCCTTGCTCCTGCAGTACATGTTTTCCAATCGTGGACCTTGAGGCACTGCTCTATGCCAGAGTCAAGTGCTCGCTGACAGAGTCCGTCTGCTGCTCCGACTCTGCCATTGAAGTTCAATGAGAGTTCAACTTCAAGCTAACTATAAGCTAATGAGGGTTGCTGCAATGATACATTGTTGTGAGTTCCACTGATCCTAGCTATTTATTCAAATGCTGTAAGTGTAATCTTAAATGAGTACTCTCTCTCCATTAGAGATGCACTTTTATTGGGTTAAATCAGTTACATAGGCATTAGAGATTTCTAGGGTGCTTCTTGCACAGGCTCTAATGTGATAGAGAGAACATGGGCATGTTGTTAAAGCACTGTAAAGCACACAGCACAAATAATGACAGGGACACCGGAAGAAAACACACTGTTAACAATGATGTAGGAGTTTTCTTCAGTGCTGTGTGTTTTCTTCAGGTATTGCCAACAATGTGTGTTTCACTATGTAATGTGATGTTTTGTTTTTCACTCTTTTGTGCCCAACAGTGAGGTCGGGTGGTAGCAGAATGATGAGCATTCACAGCCAACAATTAAGAAAGGTGACAAGGATGCAAGACAAAGGCCCTCCAGGTCAGGAAGAGGATGCTCATATTAGATACAGATGATGCTGCATCACAGGATGGAACTGTCTCTCTAGTCTTGGCATACTTTATACAGACTGGGCCAAGGCTGTTTAGTAAATAAAGGTAGCAGAATATACAACAGTCACATGAAAATGACCACAGCGGCAGGACTACAAAAATATCCAGCTCTTAAATTTTAAGGGTACAAATAGACACACACAATATGTGAACAGGTGCTCTTTTACTTTGACCCCTCGCGGTTCATCCTGACATTTGAAATGCACACAGTTGTCCAGACAATGTTGTGGTATGCAAATTATGGCCATTTTGACTGCACTCATTCTCTTTTGCCTTTCAGTTGTCTACTGGACCAGGCCCAATAGGCAATGCTGTGAAAGTCACGCACTATCCATACAAGCCTTACATTTTATTCCTTCAGCGAACACACACAAGGGAAAGGAAAGAGCTTGTGCTGTGAAGCTCTTCTCTCGGTCTCTTGTGCGTGTTCCCCCCATGCTTCTAGTTCCCTGAATGAATATGAACTAGCCCGGCTTTCTATACTTAATTTTACACTGAAAAGGTAGCATATCTAGGAACAGTTCGTATAAGTGAGGCTCATTTTGACAGCTGCTCTTGCGCTCTGCAGCCTTCAGAACTCAAGGATTTCCCACCTTTTCAATCCTGCACATTCCCTTAACCTTTATTTGAATTTCATAGAGCAGTGCCTTTTCCCCCCCAATGGTTTCATGGAATAGCTACCTCATGTACTTGCAACTATGGCCATTCATGTATTTATTTATTTAGTCAAATTCCAAATGGTGAAAAGAGTGTTCCGCAACTGTTAGTCACTAACACTGGGATGACTTGCGTCAAAGTTCATGATAAAATGAGCAAGAGAACAACGCTCACCGTAGCTCAGTGCGTATGCAGCATTCGATGTGTTGCTCGAAAATTGCATCTTATTCATTTCCCACCAATGCCAAGTTGTTTTTTCATCCGCTTCAATTCCTTTCCACTTGTGTCATAAGGTCACCACCGTACAGTTTAAGACTCCAAACAACATCCTTCCCATGTCTTCATTCATGTAGTACACACAGGTGTGTACTACATAGACTATTCAAATGGAGGGGATACAAAAATTAAATGGGGCAACAGTGTGCTTTGCTCAACTGCTCGCACACAATAATCTGATATCTGAGTAATGGTAAAAGTGGCAAGTAAACAGTTCGTCAAATGTGACATTCGGTGTCCTTGGCCACTGCATTAGTAATAAACTTGCAAGGACGAAATCCTGCACCTCAAACAATGGGACACCCTCCCTTAGGTGATTGGTGGGAATGATGCACTGTGCTTGCTGTGCACATGCCTGCAGTAGTGCACACACCTAGTAGTGCTGTGCACACGCCAGCAGTAGACATCAGGTTACGTTAAATGCCTTTGTGAATCCTTGCGTTTAGATAACGCCATATAGTGTATCCTCACCACTGGCGTGAAAAATGTGCTCTATGTAAAGTGTGACACTGCTTATTTAGGAATAAATAGGGCCACATCTCTAAAGCACTTAAGCGCAAAGCTTGTGAGATAGAAGTACCACATAACTTTACACGACACATGCCTCTGTGTTTTCCCAACATCTAACATATTATCACAGGTAATGGGTATGAGCCATCAACTGTAGGTGGAATCCTTGGGAAGTGAAGAAAGAAGAGGGCTTTTGCGTCCTGGTCTGAGGCAAGCAAGGTCGTTTCATCGCTGTCTGTAATTACGTTCGTGGCACTGGTGGAGGTGCTGGGTAAATGCGCCTCGGCTGCAGATTTTCAGCCGACACACCGAGCTACTTGGAGACAGCTGCAGCTCCCACGGCAAGAAGCAGTCGCCGCCTGCGAGGACTATCTCCCGAGTACCGTCCCCTCTCTCAAGGCGAGATGGCAACTTCAACTAACAACCAGGCGAGTCAAACCAACGACGCCTATTCTTTTCTCCCGCATGTTTTTCATGCGCCGCAAACACCACGTTCATTTCACGGAGACATTTATGAAGATGTTGACGACTGGCTTGACAACTTCAATCGAGTTGCCAACATCAACGAATGGGATGAAGCTCGCAAGCTGCGGAGAGTTTACTTTGCGTTAGAAGACTCTGCCAAAACGTGGTACGAGAATCACGAGGGTTCCTTTGCGACGTGGCATGAGTTCAGCCGACAGTTTCGTGATGTGTACCGCAGCACTGAAAGAAAAGAGAGAGCGGAGCAGACAATCTCGTCTCGGAACCAACGACCCAACGAGAGAGTTTCGATGTTTGTCGAAGACATGCTTCGACTCTTCAAGCGTGCTGACCCTGCAATGTCCGAGGAAAAGAAGGTGCGGCATTTAATGCGTGGGGTAACAGAGCAGCTCTTCGCAGGACTCGTGCGCAATCAACCGACGACTGTGGCAGAGTTCATAAATGAGGCAACCACAATGAAGCGTACTCTCCAGTTTAGGTCGTCACAGTATGAACGCCCCGACGTGACCCCTGCTGCATGCTTTATCGGGGCTGACAGCGAGAGGCATGCCCTCGCTGAGTTCATAAGAAGCGTCGTGCGGGACGAGCTGCGCCAACTACAAGCAGCGGGACCCCAACCACCCGTAAGTGATCTCACAGACTTAATCCGAAATGAGATCCGACAGGTGGTCACCCCACTCGCGCCAGCAAGGCCTGAGGCCCCTGTGCTGACTTATGCGGCGGCTCTGCGATCCCCTGCACCACATGGCCCTGATCCCACCATGGGGAGAATGGATCAGGCTAGCCATCGATTCCAGGGCACCTCTTCGACTCCGCCACCCGCCTCAAGGTTTCCGAGTGCACCAACTTATCGTCCGTCTGGATCGCGGCAGAACGCCACAAAGGCCAGCGTGTGGCGTATGTACGATAACCGTCCACTCTGCTACCACTGTGGCGAAGCGGGTCACGTCTACCGTAACTGCCTGTACCGCCAACTTGGTCTCCGTAGCTTTCACCCTGATGCTCGGTGCCCGCGTTACGGTGAGCGTCCTCGCGACATCGAAGCGTACCTTACGGGCCAGCAAGCTCCTCGCCTTGGTCAACGCCCCCAGTCACGATCACCATCACCTCGCCGCCCCACGTCACCTAGCATTCCCTCGTCATCTTATGCTCCTTTCAGAGGCCGGTCACCGAGTCCCCACAGGAAAAACTAGAAACCGCGGCTCCTGGGGGTGAAGCCGCGTCCCAACGAACTGTCAAAGAGCCTCCTTCGACGCAAAGACCCGACGAAGACCGTTCTGACTTTCCAGTCGTTTCCCAAAGTCATAAGACTGTTTCCGCCGACATCACCGTACACGTCGATAATCATGTCGTCACTGCTCTCGTCGATACCGGCGCCGATTATTCGGTTATGAGCAGCGCCCTAGCATCCCAACTGAGGAAGGTAACTACCCCTTGGCAAGGACCGCCATTGCGCACGCCAGGGGGCCACCTCGTCACGCCGACTGGAATGTGCACAGCCCGTGTTCGAGTCCGTGCTTCGACGTTCATAGGGTCTTTCCTCGTATTACCTGTGTGCTCCCGTCCACTCATTCTAAGGCTGGACTTTCTTCGCGAACACGGCGCAATTATTGACCTACGAGACTTGCAGGTGTCGTTCGAGGACCCGTTTCATCCTGAACCGGAAAACGCCCGCTTATCGAAGGCTGCCCTACGTGTATCCTCCGAATCTGTTACTCTGCCTCCTCGCAGCAGCCTTTTCATCAACTGTTGAATGTGACCAAGACGTCCCCGAAGCTGGAATTTCATATACGAAATTTGTCCCTACTTTTTGCACAACAAATTTGTGTTGCCCGAGGTATTGTTCAGCCCAGTAGAAAGCAGGCTTGCCTATTAGTCACGAATTTCAGCGAGGAGTATCGCCATCTTACCAAACACACTGCGATCGCATACCTTGAGGATACTGCCGACGTCCCTGGTCCCTCAACATTATCTGCTCTTTCGTCGTGCGACGATTCCTGCCCTGACATTTGCAAGCACTCTCGACGTAAACCAGGGTCTACCGTCTGCACAACAGGAACGTCTTTTGAAGCTACTCGGCTCATTTCGGGACTGCTTCGCTACGACTTCGAAAGTTAACCAAACACCGCTCGCCAAGCATCGTATCATCACCGAGCCTACCGAGAGACCCATTCGACAGTATGCCTACAGAGTCTCGCAAAAAGAACAAGACGTTATACGCCAACAGGTCCAGCAGATGCTCAAGGACGATGTCATCCAGCCATCGACCAGTCCCTGGGCGTCCCCTGTTCTGTTAGTAAAGAAAAAAGATGGTACTCTGCGATTTTGCGTCGACTACCGAAAGTTGAATAAGATCACGAAGAAAGACGTGTATCCTTTACCACGAATAGACGACTCGCTGAACCGCATTCGCAATGCTCGTTACTTTTCTTCCATGGATCTACGCAGCGGCTATTGGCAAATATCTGTCGATGAGCGCGACCGCGAAAAGACCGCCTTCATTACTCCTGACGGGCTCTACGAGTTCAAGGTCCTTCCCTTCGGCTTATGCTCGGCCCCAGCTACTTTTCAAAGAATGATGGACACGGTTCTTTCTGGGCTAAAATGGCAATCGTGTCTTGTCTACCTTGACGATGTGGTCATCTTCTCGGACACGTTTGAGCAGCACGTCCAGCGCTTACAGGCAGTTCTTCAGGCGATTCAAACAGCTGGACTTTCTCTCAAACCTGAGAAATGCCACTTTGCATTCGAGGAACTGAAATTTCTTGGTCACGTCATCAGCCACGCCGGTATACATTCAGACCCTGAGAAAACGAAAGCTGTTGCCGCATTTCCTGTCCCAACAAACAAGCGCGACCTCCGCCGATTTCTGGGACTCTGCGCATATTACAGACGCTTCGTCAAAGGCTTTTCTAAAATCGCTGAACCGCTAAATGAACTTACGAAAGACGGCGTACCGTTTGTTTGGGGTCATGATCAGCATCACGCCTTTGACACGCTACGAAACCATCTCCAAGCCCCACCTGTACTCAGTCACTTTGACGATAACGCTGCCACAGAGCTACACACGGATGCCAGCAACGTCGGACTTGGAGCTGTACTGGTTCAATGGCAAAATGGCGTAGAACGCGTGATCGCCTATGCAAGTCGAACACTATCATCTGCAGAGAAAAACTACTCTGCAACAGAAAAGGAATGCTTAGCCGTTGTTTGGGCTATAACAAAGTTTCGCCCTTATTTATACGGTCGACCATTCAGGGTAGTTAGCGACCACCATTCTTTATGCTGGCTCGCCAACCTCAAAGACCCTTCCGGTCGTCTAGCACGCTGGAGCCTTCGGCTGCAAGAATTTGACGTTACAGTCATTCACAAGTCAGGACGCAAACACACTGATGCTGACTGTCTTTCACGTGCACCAATTGGAAGTACGAATGCGGACGTTGAAGAGGACGATACATTCCTTTCCTCTGTGTCAGCAACTGACTTGGCTCAACAACAACGCGACGACATGGAGCTAAGCCCGCTGATTGACTACCTCTAAGGCCGAAAACGCAGCCTTCCTCGAAACTTCGCACGTTCGCTGGCCTCGTTCTGCATCAGGGATGGAGTCCTCTATAAGAAAAATTTCGACCATACCCAGGCTACTTACCTACTGGTTGCGCCGACCTCGCTTCGGGACGATATTTTACATGCTTGTCACGACGAACCATCATCCGGACACCTTGGCTACACACGCGCACATTGGAAAGAATTCGCCGCTCATACTACTGGCCCCGCCTCGCGAAGACAGTCAAGCAGTACGTCCGCACATGCCGCGACTGTCAACGCCGTAAGACTCCACCTGTCCGACCAGCAGGACTACTACAGCCTATCGCCACGCCGAAGACACCATTCCATCAAATTGGCATTGACTTGCTCGGCTCATTTCCCACCTCTTCGTCTGGAAACCGGTGGATTGTGGTTGCCACCAATTATTTAACGCGTTACAGTGAAACAAAGGCCCTGCCTAAAGCTACCGCAGCCGAAATCGCACAGTTCTTTGTCACCAGCATCGTACTTCGTCACGGAGCGCCAACTGTAATAATTACTGATCGTGGTACAGCTTTCACCGCAGAGATGCTTCAAGAAGTGCTGAGACTAAGTGGTACAGAACATCGGAAAACCACGGGTTATCACCCCCAAACAAATGGACTCACTGAACGGTTGAACAAGACCATTGCAGATATGCTATCAATGTATGTGGCCGTTGATCACAAGAACTGGGATGATATACTCCCTTACGTAACTTTTGCTTACAATACAGCAGTCCAAGAGAGTACAGGTTTCACCCCATTTCGCTTAGTTCATGGTCGAGAGGTCACTACAATGCTCGACGCAATGCTCCTTCCTAACAACTTGAGCATGTTCAACACGGACGCTGCACTGTTCGCTCAACGCGCCGAGGAGGCCCGTCAACTCGCCCGATGCCGTATTCAGGCTCGCCAAACTGCCGACGCACACCGCTACAACCTTACACACCGAGAGGTTACCTTCAAACCAGGCGATGAAGTTTGGGTGTGGACTCCCATCCGACAGCGTGGTCACTCTGAGAAGTTGCTTCGGCGCTACTTCGGCCCTTACAAAGTTCTGCGCCGACTCAGTGACGTTAAGTATGAAGTTCTCCCTGAGGGCGCCTCAAGACGTTTCCGTCGGTTTCCACAAAGTGATGTGGTGCACGTGTCAAGACTCAAGCCATATTTCTCGCGTGATACATCGAACGTGGACTAACTTACCATGCAATGACTATTTTTTGTCACTTTGGTTTTTTTTTATTGTCTTGTGTACTTACCCCTTTTTTTATTGAGTACTTCTATGACGCCAGCCTATTTTTTTCCCCTTACGACGGAGTTGTTGGGTTCCATGGTAGCATATTTTCTTTCTAATTTTTTTTCTCAACGCTCATTATCAGCATCGAGCCGATGCTTTTCGAGGAGAGGGAGTAATGTCACAGGTAATGGGTATGAGCCATCAACTGTAGGTGGAATCCTTGGGAAGTAAAGAAAGAAGAGGGCTTTTGCGTCCTGGTCTGAGGCAAGCAAGACGTCGTTTCGTCGCTGTCTGTAATTACGTTCGTGGCAATATTTTTTTGGTTTATAAACGCTGTACATTAAACTTGACAGTTGAGAAGAAAGAAAGGAGACCATGCATACCTTCTCATTCTGAAGACCATCCCTGGCACCCACTTCAACAACCTTGACATAATCGGGAAAACTTCCAATGTTCTGCAAAAAATTGTGAGCAGCACACAGTGGGGCAATTTTAAGATTCCTGCTAGAATACGTGCACAGGGACAGTGGTGTATACTTGGCTCAACTGCAGATTGTATTTCTACTACCTGTTGCAAAGCTAGAAATCAAAGTCAGCAAAGTGCCCAAAGAGTCAATGCAGCAACCACAACTTGCATATGTCAAGAACCCATTTCATGAGCACTCACTCCCAGAATTCCGAGCATCAGAAGATGTACTCAAAGCAGCATATATTTTATATGCAAGTGCGTCATGAAGTCACATTCTCACTTATGTATTATGATGCAGTGATTTCACAAAACCTCTCAGAAAAAGCACACTGCACCATACGAGTAGAGGAATGGCATCTGACCATTGTTGTCTGTTACTGTTTCATTAATTATAGATTATAATGTACACTAGGAAAGAGTACAGATTACAAAACAGATATTCTGTAATGTGCATGAATGGAGAGCTAGAATTCTGTTCCTGAGAGATGACTATATGTGAATACTGGTCTCAGCAAAAGAAGACTATAGTGCAAGCACAGTGCCACTTAAGAAGGTGCAAACATTCATATATTCTGTCAATCATACAACTCTGCTTCCCGTCTTCTGTGAAGCTATACATGGCTTTCCCAAAACAGACCTGCAACGTATCCATATCCAGGATGACAGCGAACAATGAGCAATTCATAAATGCTACTGCAAAAAACGGCCCAAAAAAAGAAGATTACTGAAACTTGCTGCAATATGGTGAAAACACAGCTATACAAGGATGTTTAATACAACTGCCCACATGTACACACACACACAGCTGCTTGTGCCACAACTGCCGGATGCTTGCTTAGATACTCTTTCTAAAATCTGATGTGCAGGCAGGCCTCGCCGCATATGTAAGCCTGTTTCAATTTTTCTGGAGTTCAGAGTATCACCAAGATAAACAGTGTTGAAAGTAGTGATATACATATAATTTTAGAGTGCACTTTATAATGATTTAACATATGTAAAGAAATGTATTTGAAAGCAGCTGATTTTTATCACTAGAAGTGGAAATATATCGAACAGCAGTATACTTTCACCCCTTGCATGTCGTCCTTCTGAACATTGATTGATCGAAGAACTTTCAAACACATTATTTTTGCACTGCAACAAATAGCCTTACGAAAGGCTACGTGTGATGGGCACAATAATTGGTTTTCATTTATAAAGGTGTTGGGTTGAGTGGATAGCACTAACGATAATGAAAGACGAGGATGAGCAAAGGAATCAAGGAAAACAAAATTTGCTTGAACAATCAGTGAAACTACCAACCTTTGGATGCGCGAACGGTTCGAACTCCGCGACAACCATGTTATCCAAGGGATTCAATACGCGCCCACTGAAACACAAGCTCCGAGAGCGAGCAGCTGTTTCACTTTCAAGTTAAATCCTCCTCGGTTGGAACGTCTCTGGAGGGGCGCACAAATCGCGTCTCAACTCAAATACCACCACCCTTTCCCCAACTGTGAGACGTTTGACGTAAATCGTAAAGCCCAGCCTTTGAACCAATCGTCGCTACGTAGGGTGATTTGTGACGTGTACCACAGGGCGCTCATCGCGCGACTCGCCACAGAAAAACACGCTCGGGCTTTTTTTTTTTTTTTTTCTCGCTTCGGTAGTGATGGAATTCAGTGTGTGTCGCCCATTGTCGAGGTTTTATAAAGATGAGGAGGCTCCGCGTCCGAACGTCGGCTCACCAAAGGAAGCGTGCGCAATTCTGGTACGATCCCGCCAACGGTCCGAGTTATTACGACTGTCACGGAAATATTGTCCACACTCATAGCCGATGCACGCAAAGTTTCCTTAAATGGTAATAATGATGGTCTTGCAAATTGCACTCGAGTACTGCAGTTGCAAGTGCCTACATATATTCCGCATGGCTTTCGATATTGTTCACAGTGAAGCAAGAGGGAAAATAACTTCCCTAGGAAGACCGGTTATGCAAGTAAAATTTTGCAACATCAACGAACCGCCTCATACAAGTTCCTCTACCATGAGCAGCGACTGCATTCATATACGCACGAACACATTTAGGTCAGATAATAGTGCATTCTAGTTCACTGTAGGCCAGAGTAAAAAAAATGTGGCCGCTGTATGCGGCGCATGTCTGCATTTCACTCCGGGTCAAGGTCGATGGCCAATTTTTGTTTTGATGCTAAGTCGGTTCAATACCGGCTGAGAACGGTTAACGAGATCGCAGAGAAGGCTCGCGCTATTAGCAGGAATCAAATACAAAAAACCTACCCATAGATACGCGTACGGGCGACGATCGAAATGTGTGAATGATGGCATAACGTGCACACTGGTGGAAAAGTGTCGTTCGATATCCTCACCTTGGCAGTTACATACGTCCAGCACATGCGACGAGCGAGGCCAACGCCTAGATTCAGAAATCCACCACATGACACAAACATGGTATGCGCCGAGTTTGATTCCTTTTACGAGGGCTGCTTCGCCTTACTAGGGTCTCAGTTTCGCTTCGCACGGATCAACGCCACTGCAGCGGCTGGTGGATGACGGCCGGCTCAGAGAACACCTACCACTCCTACTCTGCTGCACTACACTAGCGACACGCGGCTGCGCGGCGTTTGGACTAATGTAAGGGCGGTTGCACGTTCTCTTACAAAACAATGTCATGTACCGCGCAAAGTTAAAAATAATTGAAACAATTATTTGTGTCGCTTAAGTCATTTACGAACACAGCGTTTCCGATCTGTGTCGCGTAAGTAAAGTTCAACGAACCTAGAATTCGAAACTAGAGGGTTTGCAGTAATGCAGTTTGTGCTGAAGGCCAAACCTCATAAGCGCGAAAATGCACGCGACAGCGACAAGCGACGCGACGTAGAAATCGGCTTCGCGCGATCAGTCGCTAGCGCAGGCAAACCTCATTCACGCGACGGCTTCGGCGAGCGAATTCCACTGTTGCTGGCATGAGGCCGTCTACTCGCACCAAGAAAACCGCGTAGCGAGCGATATGCAATTTAAAAATTAAATATCTTGTTGTGTAATGAAACGGAAGGTGTTTATTATTGCCTTGCAGCACTTTTTTATATGCACATGCGTAATAAACATTGCGTTACTTATTGTTGCGCATACATGACTTGGGCTGGGTCACGTGCACCTATGTAGTCTTTGTCTTTTCCGGTATTTCGCTATTGGCTGCTTGACGATAGCTATAGCGCGAGAACAAAACGACGACACAGAGACAAGAAGGACACGAAAGACACGAGCGCTAACTTCCAACTGAGTTTATTGCGCAGAGCACGAAAATATATAGAGGAGACAGTGACCATGGCACAAGAGCAGAACATGAGTAAGAAAACCAAAAACAAACAACACAAATACAAAGGCACTGAAAAACAGCAAAGAAAAACCTAGAAGAAACCAAACCAGAAAGGTAGAGCTACCTGCCTGCACCGAATCCTTCGAGGAACCTGCGTTCCTTTCGGACTAAGCCACGGAGGGCTTGCTAATCCAAGGCACCTGTTCGCGTTACCTGCCCGCACCGATATATATTTTCGTGCTCAGCGCAATAAACTCAGTTGGAAGTTAGCGCTCGTGTCTTTCGTGTCCTTCTTGTCTTTGTGTCGTCGTTTTGTTCTCGCGCTATAACTATCGTCATGCCATACCAACTAGCCCAAGCTGCCACACTTCTGGCTGCTTGAGCCCAGCACTTCCGGGCGATGAGCGACGGTTTCCAAATCTGGAGAACCGAGCGATCGCGCGATAACGAGCACGCGACACGTCGCGCGAACGCCCTGTTTCGTCGCTCGTCGCTGTCGCGTGCATTTTCGCGCTTATGAGGTTTGGCCCTAAAGAGGTGGCTCTAAGCACATTTCCTTCCTCCGTGGCTCTAAGTATCTAACATGTCTCACTGAATTTTATGAAATATGTCTTATTATGTGCACAAGCAGCGAGAAGACAACTGGCTAGCCTTGACAGTTAAAGAACATGCGTTGTTTTAGCCAACGTTGGTTTTAGCTACTGGAGCAGGGAATCGGAATTTCCTTTCTGCACGTACTACGGGTACTACGTACGCTCGCAGGCGCAAATGGGGACACGCTCTGCAGAATTGAAGCATGCATGGTCCTCGGCAGGATTTCATATGGCGCGGGGGGGAAGGGGTGCAAACCGGCGTTGCATCGTGGTGAGGAAAGGGGGAGAGCACTGGCGTAGCTTTGGTGGGTGCAAGAGCTCGTGTAGCCTGAGGGGACCGAGTGCATGCTCGGTTCCAGCCAATCATATTGGGCGGGGGGCCTGATTGGTGATAGGAGTCAGACTACAGGCACTGAAGTGAGAGGGGGGCGGGCGATGGCCCCCTCTGGATAGGCAAGTGCCCCTTTTGCACTGGTCTGCTGGCGCCCATGGCCGCATGAAATGATTGTCCTCGCTTTGTCACTTCATTCGAGGCTGTGCAGTAGCAAAGCATGAGCGTCACACGGAAACTTTTGCCTGTATAGCTCTACTGTCATGCTTTTCCGCGACACGCTGTTGAAGAGCTGGAAATGTTGAGTAACGCTGCTGCCATTGTAATGTAGCTATTATTGTTCACACGAAAATGGGTTAATTGTGAAGTGGCATCAAAAGAAACGAATCATGATCAACAATTGAAGGTGCCCATTCTGATAAACCATTCTCCAGTCAATTAAGACATATATGCGTGAATTAAAAGGGCGATAGTGCAGTGTAGTGGAGACATAAAAGGAAAGCCTCCCTTTATTTTTTTTTTCAATTCCTACAGAAGGACGCTACGATTGATTGATATGTGGAGTTGAACGTCCCAAAACCACTGTATGATTATGAGAGACGCCGTAGTAGAGGGCTCCGGAAATTTAGACCACCTGGGGTTCTTCAACGTGCACCCAAATCTGAGCACACGGGCCTACAACATTTCCGCCTCCATCGGAAATGCAGCCGGGATTCGAACCCGCACCCTGCGGGTCAGCAGCCGAGTACCTTAGCCACTAAACCACTGCGGCGAGGCAAGGACGCTACGACCTGCTTTATATGTTCAAAAAATCAAATCACTCGAAATGACCGGGAGGCAGAAGAGTGAATTGTGCTTTCTCTGAATGCGATGGGTTCATAGCAAAGTAGGCACAAATTCATTTCTCGAATGGTCTGCAGAGATCCTAGGTTATCTGAACATTTCAATTTGTGCCATTCTACTTTACATCATCTTCTTAATTGTCGTCACCTGCCACATTATAATTTTTTGTTACAGTTTTGAGTATCTAATTGCAAATTGTATGGTCCAGCAGCATTTGAACATAGATTCAGTATAACTTATTCACACTTCTGTATTCACTGTGCCATTATGCTCCTCCGATTTGACTCAATTAGGCCTGCGATGCTTCGAAATGACAGAAATAAAATATAGCGATGGCTGTTTTTGCTGCCAATACTAAGTAACAATACATGAGGCTCACACAGACAAATCCTTATTTATCTCCTGAAAACTATAAATCTTTTGCCTCTCATTGAAATTAAGTCGCATCATTAAGACAGGTGCAGAGGCCAGCCAGGTAAGAGGTAAACGACAAACTTGCAAATAAACCATTTAAATGAATTGTGATCTTCAAAGAAACGTACAAACTGGTTGCACTGAAAGCAACAAGCACGCTTATTGAATTGCATGACACAGACGTCGTGGTCGCACTTAATTAGTATAGGGCTTATCAATTATAGCCTTCAGAAAACTGCCCACTTTCTCTACACTCTAACAACAGGAGCACATCTGAGAAAACTTGAGATGTATGAACACCAATATTATGAGAGCATGCTGCATGATGAAATTGGCATGATAATCATAGGCATCAAACAGAAGGGGGAGTGCATAAGGGGCCCCCATCACACAACAACAGCACCTGTCCCCACCCATGCTATCTTCTACTCCTCCCCTAGTTGTTCACAACTCTAGTTTGTACCCCTCAAGACAAATTCCTGCTGACGCCCATGACAAGGCAAGACATGAGCAATATGAACATGGTCAAAACATGGTTGGCATTGTCTAAAAAATTCTCGCTTTCTACCCAAAGCTCCTTTTTATACATTTTGATTTATGTACAGAATTTCACACGGTACCACAAAATGGGTGAACCACCCTAGTGCTCATATGTATTTACTCAAAATTGGCTGTCTGCTAGAGTTTAGAGAGGTATAGAATGATAAAAAATTTCCTGAAATGTAAACGTAATTAAAAAAACATTTGGCTGTAATATCAATACACATTTCATTATCCTTTTAGGAATGTAAACAATGATTCATGTTGTAATCCCTGGCAACATGTGTGACCTATTCATACATATAAAAAAGGCACCTGTACTGCACATGAGGCACTGCATGTAAAGCAGACTGCACACACCTTTTTTCAGCTGCAAGCTTTGCCTCCCAGACTCTGCAGAATGCTAGCCGCGATTCGAAGGTTACACTTCAATACAGTGTTCAAGACGTCTAGTCCGACCCTAGCAGCAACATCACACTGAAGAATCTATGTTGATCCCCAGTTTTCGAACTACATATTCTACTTTAAAGAGAACAGGCCTGCAGTTCAGCGCATATAATAGCTTGCTTGCCAAGAATTCCTGCAGGAATCCACAGTGTGGACTACATATTTGCATATGGCACTGCCTGAAGGCAGCTGGCTATGGCTGCCATTTCAATAAATTCCCCAGTTGAACACAGCCTGGGAAACACTGCTCATTTATTTGGTGCTCATATAGCTCTACTGAGGCCCTGAAGTAATTTTCTACGTAATAATAGAATAGACTCAGGAATGCGATGCCACAATTTTTCAGATAATTCAAGTATAAGCAAAGCTGCAGGTAGTGACAGCGCCCCCACTGAGTCGCTTTATTTAGAAATTTGTCCTTCATGCGCACAGCTACATTGAACAAAGTGAACTGACCCAACTTTACATCATTGTGAGTCTAGACATAGGGCATCAGTTTTGCTTTTGTGCATGTAACAAATATTTCGAGTTCAGGAGTGTGTGGTGCCCTCTATAAATAATCCTCAGGCACCATGTACTTGACTTGCCTAATCCATACCTGCTGCCGTTGTCTGAAAACCCATCCGGCAGAAGGACGCCACACTACTTACGTTACACAATGGACTAAACACAGCGGTTTTGCTGGATTAGAGTACATGCTAAGAGGCTCAGAATAGGGGCCCCAGTCCAAACTTACATGGCTGCTATGATGAACTCAGTATAAGAAAAGTGACTGAACTGGCCACATAGTATTCGAAAGAGCACGCTTGACATATGCTAGATGCCAAATTGCATGAATGTAGAACCAAACAAGACATTCAAAAAACACTCAATGCAAATAACATATAATGTCAGGATGAAAGGTCAAGACTTTAGAAGATCTAAAACATTAATATTATATGCAGCAGGGCTATCCTAACTCAGAAAAGTAACAGTAGACCGCAATCACGCCAGCAGTGAGTCATTCTAGAACACAAGCTGATGACACAGCAGGGCTTCTGTAGAGTCACATATACTTCAACCACCCTTAACAAAAAGCAGACTTCAGAAAGTTACAAAACTGAATGAAAAACGAAACCACTTTTTTTTGCTTTTCAGACTGATTCACACAAGAAAGAGCTTAACGGTAACTTTACAAACAATGAAAGCTAAATTTTCTCTGCGCCATGTTCCACTAGATCCACTTGCTCCACTGACTGTTGAAAAATACAAGCATGGCAATTGTTACGTCAGAAGGCTTTTCTGAGAGTAGGGTACTTTGACTACCGCTAATGGTATATCGACAACCGAAACGCAATTTCCTTCCAAACTAACCATTTCTTTGCCACACAATTAACACTCAAAGGTTTCTGGAATGCTGTTTTACAATCCACGTCAACGTAACAGTACTTGTATTGAGTGTCCTTATAAGCACGAGGCCATCCATCGAGCTTGGAAGACTGTAATAACGTAATGATGTCATTTAATTAAAGATTAGCAACAGTACTATTACCGACAATACTCTTGCAACCAATAAATCAGCCAAACATTATTGGGCCCGCTTCTTACAGAACTGATCTGGACATTGAGAAAGAGACCAGAAGTAATTTTTGGCTGTCCTTGACAACTCTGCATCATCAACTGCATTTAATTCGGCTCACATGTCTTGATGAGAGCTTTGCCTACAAAGTGGCTATGGTTTTTTTTTCTTTTTCAAATGCTGAAAAAAAAAAGAAGTTTCAGAGTCCCATAATAGCCTGTAATATTAGTAAGAACTGTTGCTTCTCAATTCCCTAGTTCACATAAATATTGTGCATAACAAAGAAAACGGGCCTTTAAACTTACACTTCTTGCCTTAGAAACTAACAAGCATCTAGGACGTAGTCTAGCTGGTTTTCAAGAAACCACTGAGGCTCTTTCACAGTGTTATCTCCAAGTCTTGTAGTACCAAACAAAGCCAGCCTAAGCATCTGTCCAAACGTTGTGTTGTAGCGGCCCACGTTGGATACCGTCAATGGCCCGAACGTATCTGTGGTCACGAGGTAGCTCCTGTGTCGAAAGAGAAGGTGAATGGCAAAGAAATGTCTCCAGTCGGGCTTGCAAACTCCATACAAAAGGTGCGCCACATTGTGAACACCAAAGTCGTAAGGCACACGGTGAACAAGGTGTGGTCGTGGCACCAAAATCATTTCCGTGGGAAGCCGCCCCGCGTTCCAGTACCACAGCTCGGGGCGATAGTATCGGTACGAGTTGTACCACAGTTCAAGAAATCTGGCATTCTTGTGGGCGACAAGGACCTGGAAGCAAAAGAGCAAACAAAAGCATGTAAACTCGTTGAGGCAACAGCAATAAGAAGTGCCTTTTACAAGTCTTGTTACCTGGAAGCTCCGAAAAAAATTCAGGGGCAACATTGTGTAATGATTCATCAATGGCAGTGGCATGACAGCAAGCCTTTGTAATTGGCAATATTAGCCGCTCACTGCTGACTCAAGAATTTAAGAAATGCATGAGAATGCAAAGAGTTCTCACAAGATCGACCCAGAAGCAGCTGTATGCGTGAAATTCTCATCAACAGCGCATGCTGACATGCCTACTGTACCTATAATAATGATATAGTCGCCAGCTTTCTTAGACATGTGAGCATAATTGTAAAGTTTGTGTATATATTATCCTTTACCCTCTAGATTTAGTAATTGTTTTTTGCCATCCATAAATACTATACAGGCAGCTAATCAAGTAAATATATGAGGAGTCTATTCAAATACCTTGTTTCTTCTGTTAGTGGTTCTGACTTTTCCCTCCGCATAGGAGAGTCGACGGCTGTCTGTAGGCATCTGTGGAGGTCTGATAATAGCATGCTCATGTTCCCTGAACTCCGACATGTCCTTAATTTCGCATAGAACCATTTGTAAGTGAACTAAGTACGGTTTAGTTTAATGTCTATATAACACATAACTACAGTCAGAGTTTGAATGAACAAAATGTGAAAGGCACTAATTATTTGGAGCAGTGCTTCTAACTTCATGTACAGCTTTTCTGTCTTTAGAATGCATTTTGAAATTGACTGCCTCTTCATTCAAAGCAAAACATAAATAAAACAAACTAATCTGCAGGCTAAGTAATTGATACCCAACAGTCATGGGGATGAAGTGGTTGAAACGAGTAGGCACAATTGGCATAGCTTGCTGGTTTGAGTGATCCAGCTTAGTGTGGCAAACTATGCTTTTCCAAGATGACGCAACGGCCATGACCTGGTCACATTGCGTCCAGGAGCCTGTCACTGCCATTATACCGAACTCTATTTTCCTCCTTGCCGTGGCCAAAGAGAGTGAGAAAGAAGGGCGAGGGGTGGGTGCTGCAGGCCAGTGGTAGTACTTGGGTGCAACGATCTCGGTCACGCTTGCTGTGCTTGTCATCACTTTACAGTTTCAGCTCCAGCCACTTATGTTTATAAGCTATGTAGACAATTGTTTCCATGAAGTGAAGTCATCTGAAGTGGACAATGTGCTGATGCATTTATATTCTATAAATGTACGCGTGTCTCCCTTTTGTACTTCAAATTTTTTCGTGCACTCAGTTAAGATGAATTACCAACTCGCCCAGCGGTCCGCGCTTCTCACAGTCTTATTTTTGCTTCACAAACAGTCTCTGTAGGATCTATAAAAACTTGCTGTTGTTGGAAGCATTCTTTTACTCATGCATCCTGCTGATATTGAGGAATGGACAACACAACAATGACCTTCACGACCAAAACAGAGAATGCAGTGTCGAAGCAGAACACTGTTAACAGCTGCCTGGCCTGAAGGTGTTGCTGCCTTGGAGAGGGAAGCTACCAGTGGGTGTAGCAGCGGGGGGCTAGTTGGCATGACAGAGAAATGATAAAACTATGCCTAGAAGCAAAACAAAAGAAAAATGAGGTGGTAGTAACCCTTTTTTCAATCTCTGCACATTCAGCAGACCCTGACAATTGTTTGACAGAAATGCTGCCCATTATATACTTTCAACATGCACAAAACATGTGCGTGAACAGTGGAAGTGCTAATAACAAGTTGAAGCCTTGCTATGCCTCACACCAACTCAACACAGATTATTGGAACATAAGAGATCACTAACTGAAGGCTCACCTCAATTTTCTTCACATTGTCCAGAGCTTAGCTACGCATCAAAATTTAATGAGTGTGCGGTTTTGTACCAGCACGGGAATGCAAACACGCGTCTTATGATCATTGTAGCATAGCATATTGATATGTGTCAGCCAACCATCGATTATTTTGCATACATGAAATCGAATGCCTTAACAGTGATCGTTGCCACAAACCCCACGCATGCCAGACTGACAGGTTCACATACTGCATTGGCATGCACAGATACACTTTCGTGCCTTCTTTCTTTTCTGCCATTGTGTGCTTGTTCAGTTGTTAATATAGACATGTGTGGTCTTCTGACTTCATTCTTGTGTCCATGCTTCTATGCCCTGTCCTTTAGAATGCCACCTTACAACTTAATGAGGAGCCGGAGGGGTTCTAGAATGCCATAATATTGATATCAGTTTGATTACGGCTGACTTCCCCTTTTGTTCAGGTGCCAACAAGGCTAATTAATACCTGACGAATGTTCATGTTTGAAAAATAACACAAGTTGTCCAGTTGGGCCTCCATTATGGTCGTCTCCGTCACTTCTTTGTGTACTGCCTCCTCAACGGCAGCCAGGAAGTAGCAAACTCTCTACAAGCCCAATTTCCATCGTTTCACTAGTTCTCCTGTTCGCATGATTGCACATCACCAGGTAGAAAGAGCAATACAGGAATCAGTGAATCCCTCTATGAACAGTGAGCTGGACCTGTCATACGAACACGCATGACTGGTACAACAAATGGGGTCAGAAAAGTGTACCACAACAGCATAGTGCAACAAGGAAGCAGAGAAACTCTTCTGTCCTTGTGAACTTGATTGTTGCGCTGTTGTTCAAATGGTTCATGTCAAGCCCCTGGCTGCTAGTTGCTTTGAAAAATCAATCTGTCACAATGACAGACGAACAGCTTTGTGGGCACAAACTTTTGCGTTATGAAAATTTAAGGGTTCGTCATCATATTCCAATAATAGAAACTAATCATTGACAACTGATGGTCTGAAATTATCTAGACTACCCGGCATCATACTTACCAATGAAAACTAAGGTTAATAATAACATACTAAGAGTAGAATGAAAGTTTGCTTTTTCATAATTTTTGCAAGTTTTCTTCTAGCGCCCAAACACACCAAGTTTTTTCCCCAGCGCGCCGGAAAACGAACTTGCAAATATGACTACGAACAAACTAGCCCAAGCTTCCAATCATTTAGGTTACATCATCAGCAGTCTGACTACGCCCACTGCAGGGCAAAAGTCTCTGACGTGTTCCACCAATGAAGTAGATTGTGTGCTTTCTGCTAGAACATTACACCTGCAAACTTCTTATTAATCTCTTCTGCTCACCTAACTTTCTGTTTTCCCCTACAACGTTTGCCTTATCTCAGGATCCGGCCAGTTACCTTATTGCAGGCGGTTATCCTGCCTATGCCCGACCCATGTCCATTCATCCTTAATTTCAGCTGTGATGCATTAATAGCTATTTAACTTGGTTACAACTAGCTTTTCTTTAAATGTTTTTATATCGACCTCCGACTACCGTTGCTTTCTTATTCAGATCGCGATATTCGGATTGCAAAGCACTCCACCCCACCGCGACCAAACGCGACTACATGGCCAATACATCGTGTCCCGGTATAGTTAGCGCGCTTTTTCGTTGCCAGCAGGATTCCCGTGCTATACCTGAGTGCCTAGAGCTTGTTTCGGGTACCAGCCCAGTGCCATTTCGAAGCGTCGAAACGGATCCAAGGAGCGCACGAGGTACGAGTCACCGTCGAGGAAGATGCCCCCGTACTTGCGCAGAATGCGGAGCCTCGTGATGTCCGACGCATGGTAGATGGAACTGAGCCGCTTGCCGAATACGTAGCGCGGTCTCTTCACCGTCGCCAGCCGCAGGCCCGGGATCCCGGAGACGAGCGGCCAGTGCGCACTCGAGAAGCGGCGAGCCCATTCGTCGCACTGGTCGCAGTGCACGACGATCGACGCGGGCCGCTGTTGTATCCACGCGGCTCGGATGCAGACTGCCTCGACGAGACTCAGTGATGCGTTGCCTAGGCGCACGAAGTGCACGATGTTGGGCACGATCGGCCGGTCAAATCCTGTCACATTGTCGGCGCCCTCGAAGTCCACGATGTCACCAGCCCACCAATTCCTCGTGGAGGCGGAGAGACTGTCCGCGCGTCGGTATAGAATGCGCAGGAAAAAGAATGAAATAATGGGCACCGCCACAAAAATTAGGCGAAGCGAGTAGCGCATGGAGCTCTGCTGACATTTCACGGCGAATTCTCTACAAACCAGCTCTGTTTAGCCAATATTATAGTGAACTAGAATATGACCATATTCTTGGCCAATAGCAACCACACCCGCGCCATGCACTGCATGCACCCGCGTTGTTTCAAATATCTGGAAAGGTAGTGACAACTACACGCGTGCCCACTCGAGGAATCCACGGAGCAGCGCTAGCAGACGACGCGCCTCTTGCCGCTGGGAGAACTACAAAATGGGTTCCGTAAACGAAGGAGGTTGGAGGACATTCTGTTTTGATTAGTGCAGTGTATTAAAATAGCGGAAAAAGAACACAGGTCTGTGTGGCTGGCTTTTCTAAATATCAAGGGAGGTTACAATACTGTGATTCAAGAAGATCGACTTGAGGGGAATACATGACACACTAAATGTGGCAGATGGAATAACTAATCTTCTAAAGGATATCAATAAAAGTAACAAGGTAGTTATAAAATAGGAAGAACAGGTATCGAACATATACAAATACAACGCGGGCTCCGACAGGGATGTCCCATGTCACCTTTGTTATTTATTCTGTATCTACAGCTGGGGACGAAAAGCCTTTAAAGAACCTCAGGGGGTCGAAATTTCCGGAGCCCTCCAGTACGGCGTCTCGTATAATCATATGGTGGTTTTGGGACGTTAAACCCCACATATCAATCAATCAGGGACTAGAAGTCACGAATTAAAGGCGAGTCTACTCGGCTTCAGCCTCTCTTTTGCCAAGCAAGGAAAACACGTTGAACAGTCATTGCCAGCATTGATGTATGCAGGTGATGTTGTATTAATAGCCGACAGCAAGAAAGATTTCCAGGGATTGATCGACATCTGTGGTAATGAGGGAGGTATGTTAGATTTCAGATTCAGTAAGGAAATATCAGCCGTCCTGATTTTTAATAATAATAATAAAGGTAGTAAGCTTAAGATATGGGAGGTCACGCTAGAATTAACAGATAAATACAACTATCTGGGCGTATGGATAAGCAATAGGACCGAGTACCTAAGGGAACACGGAATATACTGTACATAACGACTAAAGGTAACATGCAGCGGTGATGAAAAATAGGGCACCATAGAAGACAGTAGGTATGATGTGAGAGAAATTTGGAAAGGGGTGATGGTTCCTGGTCTGACGTTCGGCAATGCGGTCTTGTGCATGAAATGAGAAGTTCGAGCAAGATTAGAAATTAAGCAACGTGAAATAGGTAAAGGCTTGCTTTAGGAGCTTACGGGAACACACCAAGTCAGGGAGTACAAGGTGATATGGGATGCACATAATTCGAGGGCAGGGAAGCTCGCAGCAAGATAAAATTTGAGAAGCGATTGAGAGGAATGGAGGAGGAGCGTTGGTCTACGAAGGTCTTCAGCTACTTGTACATGAGGAATGTCGATACAAAATGGAGGAAGCGAATCAGAAAATTGACGGGTGAATAGCAGGAGGCCGAACTAAAAAGAACTATCGGTTAAGAAGAAGGGGCAAGGAAACGGATACAGATGTGTGTGAAGAATTTACATGAATAAAGGCCAACTACAGCGATTTCTGGAGGTAAGTGGATCTCAATGAAATTTACTGGGTACGGTAAATTACACGTTTGCGCCACTCATGCCAAATTGTAGGCTTGATAGTTTCGCAGATTCTTTTCAAATAAACTTTACAGCTTGTTTGAAAGGCTCACCCCGCTTGTCAGAATTATGGCAACATTGTGTGTGTGTCATAGAGTTTTGCCTTGCGGAAGTGACGAACTTATTTGGCACTACAGCGTCTGCTTGTCTGCTATGGATTATATGGGTTCGGCCGGCGCTTCCTTGGTTGAGTGTGCGATTTCCGTTTCCGTGTTGGTGGGCGTGCGATATGTGCAAAGTGGTGTTGTGTTGCGAGCCACACAGGATTCGCTATATATTCACCATAGCAGCGTAAGCGATTTAGTTGGTTGGACATGGATCAATGTGGCTGTACTCTCTAGATCGGGCGGTGGCTAACGCCACCTAGCCGTATTACGTAGTGAACCAAAAACTAGATTTCTCTTTTTTTTTTCCTTTATATAGTGAAGTTGAGGACTGGTACTTTGCAGTGAATGATTTAATTTTCACTCGTGCCTTGACTTTAGCCGTCAATCAGATAACCTCCTTCTAGCTATTTCTACCCGCTTAAAGTCTATTTTGCCCTCCCTGTTCCTAAACCCAAGTACTTTAAAAAACTCTGCGCCATCAACCTGAACTATTGGGTGAAGCCCTCTACAGAACATTATCAAGTGTTCAGCAGTTTCCTCCTCCTCACCGCACGCACTGCATACCGTGTCTACCCCTTCGTGTTTGGCCCGATATGTCTTTCTCGCAGTACTCCCGTCCTGGCCTCAAGCAGTAGAGAACTACCCCGAGTATTATCATAGATGCTTTTCTTGGCAATTTCCTGCTTAAAGGTTCGATAGATCTTTAGTGCGGACTTCTTAACCATGCCGATTCTCCACATGTCGGTCTCAGCTTCCTTCGCCTTCTTCTTAACCGATAATTTTTTTTTTGGTTTGGCCCCCTGCTGTTTTCCAAGTATTTACGAGTCAATTTTCTGGTTCGCTTCCTCCATTTCGTATCGACATTCTTCATGTACAAGTAGCTGAAAACCTTCCTAGCCCAACGCTCCTCCCCCATTTCTCTGAATCGCTTCTGAAATTTTATCTTGCTGCTAGCTTCCCTGCGCTCAAATGATGCCATTCCCATATTACCTTGTACTCCCTGATTTGGTGTATTCCCGTGAGGTCCTAAGGCAAGCCTACCTATTTCACGTTGCTTAAATTCTAATCTTGCTTGAACTTCTGATCTCATGCACAAGACTGCATTGCCGAACGTCAGCCCAGGAACCATGACCCCTTTCCATATTCCTCTCACAACATCATACCGATTGTAATTCCACAGTGCCCCATTTTTCATCACTGCTGCATTCCTGTTACCTTTAGTCGTCACGTATATTTCGTGTTCCCTTAGTTAATCGGTCCCGTTGCTTATCTATACGCCCAGATATTTGCATTTATCTGTTATTTCTAGCGTGATCTCATCTGTCCAAAGCTCACTACCTTCATTATCGTTAAAAATCATGACTGCGGATTTTTCCTTACTGAGTCTGGAAACTAACCTATCTCCCTCGTTACCGTAGATGTCCATCAATCTCTGCAAATATTCCTTGATGTTGGGCATTAGCACTCTCTCATCTGCGTACATCAATGCTGGTAGTGCCTGTTCAATGAGTTTTTCTTGTTTGATGCAAGATAGGTTGAAGCCCAGTCCACTTCCCTCTAATTTGGCCTCTAATCCTTGTACGTACATCATGAATAATAAGGGTGACAGAGGACAACCCTGCTTAAGCCCCCGTTTTACCTCTGCAGACTCGGATACCTGTTTTTTTTTTCACTTTACAACAACATTGTTACCTTTATAGATATCCTTTAAAAGATCAGTGACTACATCTTCCACGCCCAGTGTGTCCAGTATTACCCACAATTCCTCTTGAATAACGCTATCGTATGCTCCCTTGATATCCAAAAATGATAGCCACAGGGACCTGTGTTCGTTTTCTTTTCGATGCACGGCGTCAATAAGAACAGATTGTCTTCCAATTTTCTGTGTTTCCGAAACCCATTCTGCAGTACCCCCAGCACCCCCTCATCATTTATCCATGCCTGCAGTCTTTCGTTTATAATCTGCATTGCCAGTCTGTAGACTACTGATGTCACTGTTATAGGACGGTAGTTGTACCCCTTTCCTTTATAGATCATGCTTATCCTGCTAAGTTTCCACCCATCAGGGACTTCACCATCGATTATTGTTTTGCTCACTGCCTCTCTCAAAGTCTCAAAGTCTGTTTAGACTTCGGACCCAATGTCTTTATCCGCATAATTGAAATGGCATCTGGACCTGTTGATGTACTACTAGGAACCCTCTTCTCAGCTTTTTCCCACTCTCGTTGTGAAAATGAAGCCATTGCGCCACTTGATCCATCCTTGTTTATTTTTGTGCATTGGGTACTTTGTTGAAATTTTCTTGTCACCCTTAGTCTTATATATTCAATAGCTTCGTTTTCTTCTAGCCTAGCACCTTGAGATGTAGTTATAAACCTCTGTTCTAGGCTTGACTCAATTTTTAGGGATCTTAGATGGTTCCGAAATTTCGCAGCTGCCTTTCTTCGTTTTTATGTACTTCTGCCAGCCAATGGGACCCCTTTGTTCTAATCTTTTCGTTGATCAGAAGGGATGCTTCCCTTCTACAGCTTTGAAAAATGTCCCATTTTCTTTCAACATCATCTGTCGGTTCACGCCACTGCTTAGCATGTATCTGTTCCCTAGAGGCTTCCTGACGTTTTGATATGGCTCTATTAACTTCCTAAGCCACCAACTCTTGGGGTTGTGTATTTTTTCCGGGGTGACTTGTCAAGTGCCTTAGCAAGCTCTAGCTCTAACAGTCTAAATGGATTCGTGTATTTCCACACTGTTTTATTATCCTAAGTGATTACTTTCTCAGTTTCTTTAGTAGCTATTTCTATTTGCCTTTCTAAATAAAAATTTTCCTGTAGTTGCTCATCTTGCTTCCTTCCCACTTTCACTGCTCTTTCAAAACTTAGCTTGATACGTCTGTGATCACTACCCAGACTTCTGGAGCCACCTTCATCTATGTGCATTCCCCTGAGCTTATCATACATCCCATGTGACATCAGTGCGTAATCTATCGTCGACTACGGCCTTCTTACCTCCCATGTTATTTGCCCTTCACACTTTTCGTTATTGCCGCAAATGATCAAATGAAGCCTTTCACACATATCCATGATCATTCTGCCGGTCGCGTCGGTAAACCCTTCTATATCTTGTATGTGCACAGTCATATCTCCTTGCATAATTACCTCGCACTCTCCTCCTAATTCCTCAATGTCTTTTGATATACGCTACACCATTGCCTGGTTTTCCTCTCTGGCCTTTGCTCCTGTCAACAAGTACACCAAACCAAGGAGTGTCATCTGCCCAGCTACTTCTCCTCTTAACCATAAATGTTCCATGCACTCGTGCTTGACTCTTTGCCAACCCATACTTTTATGTATGAATGCACCATTTCCCCCCT